TTATTATGATAAAATATTTCCCCATAAAAGTGGTCACTCCAGCCGAACCCGAGGTCACAGGACAATATAAATTACATAATCGGACTCAGCATTGAATGGACTTTCATATCCAATTAAAAAATCCCGAGTGCCAGCTTAGCCATTTCTGTATTGTATTATGACAGTGTTCTTATTGCCTTTACATTTAACACAAACAATATAAACCCGATATATAGATTTTAATAATTTTTATGTTTACTAAAAGTATAAACTAGGTCTGTCCTAATTTGTAAGTAGTATTTTTAGAAAATTTAATTAATTATCAGTAATCTATCATTGCTACATTATTATACCCAAATAATTAATGTTAAATTTTTACAATATTGACTTACCTACTTATTTTCTTGTATAACCAGTGACAAATTACATTGGCAAGTGTGTTATATTGGTGTCATTTTGTTAAATAATCACAAAATAATAATTATTTTTCTCACAAAAATACGCATAAAACAACTAATGAACTAGTTAAAGAACACTGTCATAATACAATACAGAATTGGCTAACTGGCAATCGGGATTTTTTGATTGTATATGAACGACCATTCAATGTTGAGTCAGAATATGTAATTTATATTGTCCTGTGACCTCTGGTTCGGCCGGAGTGACTACTTTNGGCCGAAGTGACCACATTTATCGGGAAATATTTTATATAAAATGTCAACATGTGATATATCAATTTTATAGAGAATTTTACGTAGAATACGATGATATTAATTAAATTAATAAATAACGTCATTTTAACCCAACAATTGTTAAAAAATCGCTTAAAAATATTTATAATAACATTATATTTGTTAAATTTTAATGTTTAATAATTGTTACTTGTATATTCGAGTTCCTTGTAAAATTTTTCACAAAATTGACATATCACATATTTATATTTATTATGATAAAATAAACCGATAAAAGTAGTCACTCCGGCCGAACCGGAAGTCCGAGAACAAACAAAATGATATTTTATGACTTCTTATAAAGAGTACTTTTATATTAAATTGTAGAACCCAAATTGCCAGCTTAGCAAATATTACCTTATTTGATCTCAATGACCACTTTTATCAGTTTATTTTATAATAATAAATATAAACATGTGATATATCAATTTTGTGTAGAATTTTATAAGGAACTTGTTTATTTAAGTAACAATTGTGAAACATTAGTATTTAACAAATATAACATAATTTTAAAGATTTTTAAACGATTATCTAACAATTTTCGGGTGAAAATGACGTTATTAATTAATTTAATTAATATCATTCGGCCGCAGTGACCACCACTTTAATCGGGAAATTTTTTATATAAAATGTCAACATGTGATATATCAATTTTGTGGAGAATTTTATAAGGATCTTGTTTATTTAAGTAACAATTGTGAAACATTAATATTTAACAAATATAACACAATTTTAAAGATTTTAAAGCGATTATCAAACAATTTTCGGGTGAAAATGACGTTATTAATTAATTAAATTAATATCATCGAATTCTACGTAATATTCTCTATAAAATTGATATATCACATGTTGACATTTTATATAAAAAATTTCCCGATTAAAGTGGTGGTCACTGCGGCCGAACCAGAGGTGACAGAACAATATAAATTACATATTCTGACTCAACATTGAATGCACTTTCATATCCAATCAAAATTTCCCGATTGCCAGCTTAGCAGGATCCTGACAGTCTTCTTTGTGAATATTCATTATAAAAGTCTGATAAAAGTTGAATAAATATTTTATATACAGTAAACGCTATTTAGAAAAAACCTTTAAATGGTTTTAGGCTTACAGTGTAAGCCTTACACATATATCGTAAGGCACCGGATGGTAGCTCAACCCCAGCTTTTAGTGTATGATCAGTCTTATAGGCAATGGATTCCTGTGTACTTCAGGTCTGTTTTACGTTCAATTCCTCACAGAATACCACAAGTCAGAGGCAATCACTTTTATATATGACTTCATTATGATGGTAATGCTGTATTTAACCGTACTCCCACCTTTAAATACAATACCGTTACTTATACTAACTTAGTATCAGAATATTCTGTGCGAACACTGTTTAGGTCCGGTGGCCGGTGGTCTCACAACAACCTACGGGTGCCGTAAAATAGCAATCATAGGGTCTGTTATAACAGTATCGGGAATGTTAAGCAGTATTATTTTGGATAACATTTATACTCATTGTTTAACACTGGGTGTCATAACTGGTAATTTGATTGAATAAGTTAATTAGTATAGAATTTTGTAATATTTAACTCTTGGGTGACGAGTAGGTACTGGTCTGGGATTACTATACTTACCACAAGTAATGATAGTTACGTATTGGTTTGACAAACGGTTATCATTGGCCACAGGGATAGGTGTTTGCGGGACTGGTATAGGAATAGCTATATTCGCGTTACTGTCCGATCACTTGATAGAGACGTACGGCTGGAAGGGAGCGATGCTTCTGCTGTCGGGCCTTATGTTCAGTTGTATCGCCTTTTCGTCGCTCTTCCGGAAAGTGGATTACATGGAGGAGAAGAGTCACCTCAAGACAGCCCTCACTGAGACCTTTGACTTCCATATCCTTACGGATGTGGTGTTCGTATACTTCGCTTTCGCTAGACAGGAATGGGAACGGGAGGGGATGCCGTCAATCTCATGGTGTTCTTCGGTCTCTCCAACGCTTTCGGCAGAGCTTTCTTCGGATATATCGCAGACTTTCCATCACTTAATCGTATTATACTCTACGGTCTGTCTGTTCTGTCATACGGTGTGGCCATTGGTTTGATCGCTGCTTTCGGACAAAACTATACACTTCTCGTCATTTTAATCATTATTTTTGGTTTAACTGAAGATTTGTCTCAATGTTTCAATACTTTTGTTAATGTGTAATAATAATTTCCAATAAAGTGTACAATATATTAATAAAACAAATACTATTATCACAAATATATATTTAATAATTAATTAATTTTAAAATTTAAAGAAAAATATTTCATTCATAAAAACATACAAAGAATATGGTTCCCAATCAAAAGACCTAATTTTGTTTAAAAAACCTAATTTTGATCCAATACAATTATATAAGGGAATATTGGATTGAAGTCGGGGTGTTTTTTGCATTTTTACCATAAATTAGGTTTTTTGATCAAAATGAGGTCTTTTGATGAACCACCAAAAAATATATATACGATATGTAAGTATTAGAAAAGTTGTCATAATTTTGATGGGTTCAGCTGTTCCCGGGCACCGATTGGGATACCCAGAAACCACTTTCAACACTACTGACTCAGTAGTACTGAGTATCATTACTACTACGAAAAGTTTTGAGTCACTTTTGACTTTGAATTCATGTTTGCATTCAATATCGCAGTAACATCAGGGACGATTTCACGAAATGATCTTTTAACTCTTCTTTTAAATATCTGTAATAGTGGTCAACAGTACTGTACTGTCATATTAAAAGATGAGTTGAGAGACACATTTCGTGAAATGATCCAGATATATGAATTATTGAGCGTATGAGACATTGACGTACTATACTAGTACAGTACAATCTACACTGCACATTGATTGATTTACTGTACAGTAGAATCTACTCAATAGATCATCTGAATCTGAAACTTTGAAATTCTGATGAATAATTTGCATTTAATGGTCAGTTCTTCTGAGATAATACATCGGACAGCACCGGATGGGGGATGGGGTTGGGTTGTGGTGTTTGGATCGTTTATGATCAGTGTTATAACCGATGGCTTTTTCTACACTTCGGGTCTGTTTTACGCCAAATTTCTAACGGAATATCACGAGTCAGAGGCAATCACTTCATTGGTTGACTCCATTATGATGGGAATGATCTATTGCTCAGGTATTAGCACTTCTCAACTCAATTACCATTAGTTATATCAGAATATTCTGTGCGAACACTGTTTAGGTCCGGTGGCCGGTGGTCTCACAAAAACCTACGGGTGCCGTAAAATAGCAATCTAAACCCCGAAAATCAAAATCCCGAACATTGAAATCCCGAAATTCAAAACCACGAAATACATAATCCCGAAATCATAATCTCGAAATCAAAACCCCGAAAATCAAAATCCCGAAAATTTTAATAACTATATAAATAATTATTTTTACTTTAGTAAATGTAAAATTCATGGATATTAATAGAGTAATTATGTTCAAACCTAACCTAACCTAACCTAACCTTAATGAGATTATCGCTTTGAATCATACACTAGTTATACACTAATAAAATTCAGCCAATAATTACAAAATTTAATAATTGATGAGATATTTATGTACTAGTATGACACTAATTAGCTTTAAAATAATTACTATAATAGTATCAATAAAGAACACTGTCATAATACAATACAAAAATGGCTAAGCTGGCACTCGGGATTTTTTAATTGGATATGAAAGTCCATTCAATACTGAGTCAGAATATGTAATTTATATTGTCCTGTGACCTCGGGTTCGGCTGGAGTGACCACTTTTATCGGGAAATATTTT